TTCTCCAACGAATACTTATGATTGTGATCGTATCCAATACCCATGATCATCTCTATGATCATCTATCACACATCATACTAGTCTTAGTACATCATTGTCCCCACAATGATATATGACTAGGGAGTTTAGTATTGTTCATAACAATACATGGATTTCATAACATATTTAAAGTATGCACAATACGTAATGAATCAAACACTCATCCATAAAACCATAGAAAGTGCCAATACATCAAATGTATCATAAGAAAACTCGTAAAATAGTACATCATAGAGTACTAAACAAACAATCTTCTACTTGCTCTACTCATGGACTGCTAAACATCTAATTCTCATATCCCTAACATGACCTTCATTCTTCGACGAAGGGAGAGGCTTCGTCAACGTATCGGCAATGTTGTCATCTGTCGACACTTTGCAAATGTGCACGTCTCCTCTGTCTATGATCTTCCTGACAAGGTGAAATCGTCTGAGTATGTATTTGGATCGTTGGTGGGACCTAGGTTCTTTCGCTTGTGCGATTGCACCATTGTTGTCACAATACAAAGCAATGGGACTATCAGCACTAGGAATGACACCCAAGTCGCCAACGAACATTCTGATCCAAACAGCTTCCTTTGCTGTATCCGACGCTGCAATATACTTAGCTTCTGTAGTATAATCTGCAATGGTCGCTTGCTTAGAACTCTTCCAGCTTATAGCACCTCCGTTCAAGCAGAAAACATAGTCAGATTGCGATCTGAAGTCATCTGGGTCTGACTGGAAACCAGCATCGGCGTAACCCTTTACAGCGAGCTCGTCTTCCAACCCACCGTATACCAAGAACACATCCTTAGTACTTCTCAAGTACTTCAGGATGTTCTTGACGGTGATCCAGTGTGACTCACCTGGATCTGACTGGTATCTACTCGTAATGCTCAACGCATAGGATACATCCGGTCGAGTGCAAAGCATGGTTTACATGATGGATCCAATTGCCGAATCATATGGAATCTGATCCATGCGTTCTCGCTCATCAGGTGTCGTAGGACACTGACTCTTGCAGAGAATTGTGCCACTGCTCATCAGTAATATTCCTTTCTTGGAATCTTGCATCCTGAACCATTTCAAGACTTTATCGATGTAAGTACTCTGACTCAATCTCAGAAGCCGCTTCGATCTATCTCTATAGATCTTTATGCCTAAAATATAGGCCGCTTCTCCTAGGTCCTTCGTAGAAAACTGCATTCCTAGCCAATACTTTACGTCTTGCAAGGTAGGAACGTCATTCCCTATTAGGAGAATGTCATCTACGTATAGCACTAGAAATACTACTGTGCTCCCACTGAAATTCTTGTAAACACATGGCTCGTCCTCGTTCTGTGAGAAACCAAACCTTTTGATTGTCTCATCAAAGCGAAGGTTCCAGCTCCTCGAAGCCTGCTTCAGTCCATAAATGGACCTCTGAAGCTTGCACACCTTCCTCGGGTTCCTTGGATCGACAAAACCTTCGGGTTGTGTCATGTACACATCCTCGGTCAAATTCCCGTTAAGGAACGCGGTCTTGACATCCATTTGCCATATTTCATAGTCGTAATATGCGGCTATGGCAAGTAGGATTCTGATGGACTTCAGCATGACTACAGCGCCAGGAGAACGCGGTCTTGACATCCATTGTTATGAACAATACTAAACTCCCTAGTCATGTATCATTGTGGGAATAATGATATACTAAGACTAGTATGATGTGTGATAGATTATCGTATAGATGATCATAGGTATTGGATACGATCACAGTCATAGGTATCATAGGTATTCGTTGGAGAACGGAATACTGGATTGACCCGCATGAGATTGTCACATGGACTAGCGTCATGACTCGAATCTCATATGGCGGTTCCATGATTGGATCCTAAGACCTGAGATATCTACGGAATCCAACATGAGGAGTTGCGTGCTTTGAATACGTCAAACGTCCTGCGTAGCAGGAGGACTATAAAGGCGTGTATCAGGTACGAAACGAATCATGTGTTGGATTGTAGATAGTCAAGACGGGATTTGTACCTCTCTAAAAGGGAGAGATATCGTTGGACCCCTCGTGTGAGCGAGACTGTAGAAATGTGTGGCCGCACTATAGACGAATGTCGTCTATTTCAGACAGTCGAACTCAGTGAACGAGAAAGCAGTCGAATAAGATAAGATGGCTTGCCTTATGTTCGACATATGATATCGTGATACAAAAGGATCATCAGCCGGAATCATCACTGGCGTTCGTAATATCACGAACAAACTCTACTCGAGATAGGTAGTCATAGTGTCTTGCTAGAGACCGCCTATGACTTGTATATCCGAAATAGCGATTTCGGGTTATACTGCTATGATAGGTAGTCTGGAATCATCACTGGCGTTCGTAATATCACGAACAAACTCTATTTGAGATAGGTAGTCATAGTGTCTTGCTAGAGACCGCCGATGACTTGTATATCCGGAATAGAGATTTCGGGTTATACTGCTATATCGAATCAGCCTACAGGGTCAAACACGAAGGGAAGGACAAAACGCATGAGAAAACGACGGAAAAACCGAGACGGAAGGGGCTGGAACGGACGGACCGAAAGGGCCAGACCCGATGGACAGTCTCCCAGGTCCAGCCCCGACGGTCCGCAGAAGGCAGACCGTCCGTTCTGGCTTGTCTGGAACGGACAGTCCACGTGGGCGGACCGTCTGTTCTGACTTGCTGGAACGGACGATCCACGTGCATTCTTGGACCGTCCGTTCTGGCTTTCGGGTTTTCAAAAATTAGACCGAATTAGGGTTAAATCACCTTATAAGAAGGAGATTAAAACCCTAATTAAAAAGAGAGAGACTTTTTGAGCCGTCTTTGGTAGAATTCTAAGAGTTTTTGGTGAGATCCAAAGAGTTCAAGGATTTCTAAGTCTTGTTTTCTCGAAGCACAAAATCGAATAACAGATTCGGGTCCTAGCAGACAAGTTTCAATCGTTGGAATCCATCCCGAGGTGTGGATACGTGTAGAGGGCGAGGTATTCTTCCTCCCTTTCGTGATCAGACGAGTTCTTCAATTGATACAGGCCCCGGATCGATTGTGGTAAGCGTTCTAACGTTTCTACGATTCATAGAAGCATGATTCTAGGGTTTCATTCAAATTTTTGTTTTATATCCGCTGTGCAAACCCTAGAATCGATCTCTTAGAAATAAGATTCGCTCTAGAGATCCCAGGAATCCCATCATGGACCGACCGGTCTAGACCCTGAAAATGCCGAAACGGTCCGAAATTGCCTGGACCGACCGGTCCAGACCCCGGGAACGCGTGGACCGACAAGTCCAGACCCAGAACACGCCGGAAATGCTCGAAATGACCTAGACCGACCGTTCTAGACCCCGAGAACGCCCGGACCGACCGGTCTAGACCCAGAAAACGCCGGAAAGGCCCGAAATGACCTGGACCGACCGGTCTAGACCCCGGGAACGCCCAGACCGACCGGTCCAAATTAGAAAGTGATGAAATTGAGCCAAAAAGAACTTGGGATGAAATATAAACCTAGGAATCGATCAACTATGTGAAAAACGAGCCGAAACATGACAAAATCTAAAAGAGAAGAACTGGAATAATTTAATAAATTGAATGTGTGGTGAGATGTGCGACGTACACCGAGTGAATCGTTGTATGTTGATTGGGTTTTACTCCTCGATGGGTCACGAGAAGTGACATCGGTTGTCACCAGAAGTGACGTGCGCGTGAAGCGCATCGATTGTTGCGCGAAGCAACGGCCAACGTCATGAGATGTGATGGGCGTGAGAGGCGCTCCTAGTCATGCGATGTGACTAGGGTTTACGGCTAACCCTATGGTGTGAAGCCATACGAGATGTGATTGTTGTGCGAAGCAACGGCCAACGTCATGAGATGTGACGGGCGCTCCTAGTCATGCGACGTGACTAGGGTTTACGGCTGATTCTATGGTGCGAAGCCATGCATACTTGATTGTCATGAGATGCGACGGCCAACGTCATGAGATGTAACGGGCGTGAGAGGCGCTCCTGGTCATGAGAAGTGACCAGGGTTTACGGCTAGTCCGATGGTGTGAAGCCATACGGGAATTGACACAATGATGTTTTTACATGATATAAATATATGTTTAATATTGAATAATTTATATTTGATGTTTTATCGTTTTAATACCGTTCTCGCTAGGAATGAGTTTACCGGATCCAACCCGGATCATTCTCTAAGCAGTTGTGCGTAGCCCTCGTGGTTTCACCTTTTTCAGATTACGAGGAGCACTAGTAGCACGTTTAGGGTGACGAAGACTTCGAAGAGACGACCACGTGTACAGGGTTTCCTTATTTGTAAGATTTGAACTATGGGAGACGATCCCTATGTTTGTACGGTTGTATCTTTTCAATTCGGACATGTGTGTTTTAAGACTTAAATGTTATTTAATTTCGCTGCGTGTTTGATATTAAAAAGTTTTAAAATTCCCGTATTTTTTGGTTTGCATTATTTTATTTGTTTTCGTCCATGTGGCACATCCTGTGACGGGAATCGGGATACAGGTGTCACAACTGTTGGTATCAGAGCAACGTTCATTCCACGGGAAAGAACGCCTCACTACCTTAAGATTTTTACAATGAAAATGTTTTCGAAAACCATGTCCCAAGAAAATTTTTGCAAAGAACCGTACCTACGATGTGTTGTCTGAGGTCACTGTTAATGCTACCTTAACCGTGGTGCAGTGAAATAGCGCCACGACGTGCTCAGTCTACGACGGGAGACAACAATGTCCCCAACCATATTCCCCAAGCTGCGGAATTTAGGGAATTCCAGGATGAGATACGAAATGAATTTCGTGCATTCCAGGAGACCATGATACAAACCTTGGTGGCACATCTCCCACCTCCACCCTCAGCGCGTGGTCCGGAACCTAGGGGGAGGACCTGCCTCCGCCGCCACCTGCACCGACAGCGCCAGGGGACTACCTACCTATTGTTCGAGAGTTACGGGCCATGCACACTCCAAAGTTTGGAGGATCGATGGATCCCGAGTCTGCAGAAGAATGGATGACGTGCATCACACGAGACCTGGAATATGTTCAGTGTCCCCTACGTTATCGAGCGCTACTAGTGAGCCATCACTTGTCCGGGCAAGCTCTACATTGGTGGGAAAAGGTGGTACAGGAGATGCCTGACGGACATTGTTTCACCTGGGAGGAATTCAAGGAGGAATTTGAGAGGAAGTACTACCGCCGACAGAATCAAGAACGCCGCCTCTCTGAGTTCCTGAACCTGACTGTGAGAGAGTACGAAGCTGAATTCGTACGCATGCTTAAGCATTCGGCGCATCTGGTGCCCCTAGAGAGCCAGAAGATCACTAAGTTCGTTGTGGGACTACGACCCTCACTCCCTGGAGAGTCACGCTCCACGAGTTCCGAACTCTGAGCCATTGCATTGATCAGCTGGAGAAAGCGGAGGAATCGAAAAAGGAGGAGAGAGCCAGCAGGGCCCGTCACCGAAGTCCTCCTAGATGCCATCCCTATACGCGTCCATCGGGGAAGACTGGTCAGACTGGCCAGAGCAGCCGAGTGCAAGACAAGGATAAGGCGCCAATCACCCAGGCATTACCTCCGCCACCTCGGAGAGGGCCACCTGTCTGCTATCGGTGTCAGCAGCCAGGACACTATGCAGCATATTTTACGGTGAGACCCACAGAGCCGCAAGCGCAAGCGACTATACCACCGAGACCTACAGCTGGAGCTGGAGTGGCCCCGAGGGTTTATGCCCTAGAAGCAGAGCAGGAGCTCCAAGAAGAGGAGGTTCACATCGATGGAGTCGAAGCAGATGCGATTGCAGGTATTCTTCTACCTCTACTAGCATGGTATACTTATTGATTCTGGATAGCCATTGTTTGTTAAAGTACGAAGGTAACAAAGAACCATCGCATGTACCCTTCACTTATATGGGGTGTCCTGTTACACATTGTTTGACACTGGGGCGACTCACAGTTTTTTGAGCGCGGATATAGTGGAGAGAATCGGTACAGGAAAGGTCGATCCAATGAGTAACTTTACAGTGCGTACACCGGCAGGGGAAACCCTTACAGTTCAAGGGACTCTGCAAGGCGTACCCCTTGACATATGCGGCCGACAAATGACAGCAGATCTTATTGTGGTACCCGTAGGAGTCTATGACCTCATTCTGGGCATTGATTGGTTGACGAAATACCAGGCTTATATCGACTGCCCTCAGAGGACGATCTGGTTTCAAGAAGAGTCCGGAGGTTTTGAATTTAAAGGAAGAGGAGCACCATCGACGGACCCGATTATCTCGACGTTGAAAGCCGAAAAGATAATCAGGAAGGGGAACGATGCGTTCTTAGTGGTTATCACGGCTACTAAGGAACCGAAGAAGAGATTGAAGGACACACCTGTTGCTCGGGAATTTCCAGATGTATTTTCGGAAGAATTACCGAGAATACTGCCAAAGAGGGAGGTGGATTTCAGAATTGATGTACTACCGGCACAGAGCCAATCACTAAGACTCCGTACCGGATGGCACTGACAGAAATGGCGGAGCTGAAAAAGCAACTAAACGAGCTGGTGGAGAACGGGTTTATACGCCCGAGCGTTTCACCGTGGGGAGCACCGGTACTCTTTGTGAAAAAGAAAGACGGGAGTATACGTCTGTGTATTGATTACCGCGGGCTCAACCAAGTGACAATCAAGAATCGGTACCCGCTGCCGAGGATTGATGAGCTACTTGATCAACTGCAGGGGGCCAAGTGGTTCTCGAAGATTGTCTTACGATCGGGATATCATCAGATCCGGGTCAAGGAGGAGGACATACAGAAAACGGCATTTCGGACCCGATATGGACATTTCGAGTTCGTAGTCATGTCCTTTGGACTAACGAACACACCAGCGGTCCTCATGCAGTTGATGAACCGCTTGTTTATGGAATATTTAGACGAGTTCGTCATCATCTTCATCAATGATCTTCTCATCTATTTGCCAGACCAACAGACACACGAGGAGCATTTGAGGAAGATTTTGTATAAACTGAGAGAAACCGTATGTACGCAAAGTTCAGTAAGTGCAGTTTCTGGTTACGGGAGATTGGTTTCTTGGGTCATGTTGTATCCGCCCAAGGAATCCTGGTGGACCCGGCAAAAATCAGGGCAATTATGGATTGGAAACCCCCGACTTCTGCTACGGAAGTTAGGAGCTTCCTCAGACTTGCTGGTTATTACAAAAGTTTTGTGGAGGATTTTTCCAAGATAGCACGGCATGTGACGAAGCTGACAGGGAAGAATGTCAAGTTTGAGTGGACTGCCGAATGCGAAGCTAGTTTTTGGGAATTGAAACAGCGTTTGACCTCAGCACCTATCCTAGCATTACCACGACCGGGCGTACTATACGAAGTTTATACCGATGCATCCAAGCAGGGACTCAGTTGTGTGTTGATGCAGGAGGGACATGTGATCGCCTATGCATCGAGGTGTTGGGTTATCTACGGGTTCCTAGCATGCGATCTCATCGTTCTAGGGTTTGGTTACTAGGTTTCATGCAGCGGAAGGAAAATCTAAACCTAGTCAAACGTCACACGCAACCAAAGTCATCCGTAAAACCCCTTATAATCGTGTATATCACCGTGATAATCGAATACTTACCTCTTTCCTGAAGAAACAGAAGTAGGAGTCGATCCGGGGCCTGTTTAATCACCTAGGACTGAAGTTACAGTCCCTCTACACGTATCCACACCGACGGGAAGGATTCCAAACGTTTTTGGAACTAATCTGCTAGGATCTGTGAAGTATTTGAAGTGGGATCTAATCCCGAGAGCTAGAACTATGAAAGAAACGATTTCTTCTGAGTTTTTGCTCTGTTTTAGGGTTCTTTTCGTCTGTCTTAGGTTGAGGACGGCGTCCAATACCCTTCTTATAAGATAGGAACCCTAATCCCTTTTGGAAAACGAATTTTTCCGAGTATTGACTCGGTCCGAGTCAGAACTCTGACTCGGTCGAGTCAGAACGAATCAGCCCAAGCCCATCACCAAGTGTTGACTCGGTCCGAGTCAAAACTTGACTCTGTCCGAGTCAAAACATCAGCCAAGCCCAAAATATTTTTTGGGCTTCGACTCGCATGGAACTGACTCGGTCCGAGTCAAATACCGACTCGATCCGAGTCAAAAGGCTGAAACCGTCCCGACACTCTGATTTGATCCGAAAACTGTTTGTTTGACCAAATCCAAGTGTCCCTTTCCGATACTTCACATGTAAGTCCATCCCTAATAGTGTGTGACCCTGTAGGCCCATTCGCAGTGGCAGCAGCCTCGAGAACCATTCCCAATCTACAAGTCATGGTTAGTCTCTAGCAAGACGCCATGACCACCCACGTTGAATTGAGTTAGAGGTGATCTAACCAAGGCAATAATAGCTCGAGTTCTGATCCTTTGTCTCACGATATCATATGTTGAACAAGGGCATGGTGTGAGCCACACTTCAAGTTCAACCGCTTTCTCGTCTTGGCAAATCGACTAATAGAACAGATGCAACTTCATCTATAGCGTGGCCACGCATTTTCACAGTCTGATTTCCACGAGAGGGCCCAGCGATATCTCTCCTGTTAAGGAGGTGACAAATCCCTATTGCATGTCTAATATCTCCATATGATTCGTGAACGTATCTGATCAACGCCGTTATAATCATCCGGTTAAAGACGACGTTTGACACAGTCAAGATACGCCACTCCTCATATCAGATACTGTAGACATCTCAGATTTGAGGATCGAATAACGAACTAGTCATGACTCTGTCCATGTGACAATCTCATGCGGGTCATCCAGTCACTCGTTCACAACGAGTACCCATGATTGTGATATGCATCCAATGCATCGATCACTCCTCATGCTAGTCTTAATTCAACATTGTTCCCACAATGTTGACTGACTAGGGAGTTTAGAATCATTCTGTAATGATTCAAGGATACCGTAATATAACAAACATGCCAATCATATAACGGGAATGTAACACATTCATAAATTAATGAATCAATACAATGTCAAAGTGTCATATCACGGAACATCCTAGAGCATCATAACCAACAGTCTCCCACTATGCTCTATGATCTATCCTATAAGCATCTAATCCCCATACCCTTAACATGAGCATCATGTTTTGACGAAGGGAGAGGCTTCGTCAATGGGTCGGCAATATTATCATCTGTCGACACTCTGCTTATCTTCACGTCTCCTCTGATCAAGTGAAATCGCCTGAGTATGTGTTTGGATCTCTGGTGTGATCAGGGTTTCTTAGCTTGCGCAATCGCACCATTGTTGTCACAATACAACTCAATGGGATCTGCAATGCTAAGAACGACGCCCAGGTCTCCCACGAATTTCCTGATCCAAACAGCTTCCTTAGCTGCATCCGATGCTGCTATGTACTCGGCTTCTATAGTCGAATCTTCCACGGTTGGCTATTTGGAACTCTTCCAACTGATAGCCCCACCGTTCAGGCAGAAAACATAACTGAGTGCGATCTGAAGTCATCTCTGTCGGTTTGGAAACTAGCATCGGTATAACCACTTATAGCGAGCTCGTCTTCCAATCCGCCATATACCAAGAACAAATCCTTAGTCCTTCTCAAGTACTTAAGGATGTTCTTTACCGCAATCCAATAAGCCTCACCTGGTGTAGATTGATATCTACTAGACATGCTTAATGCATATGATACATCCGGGCGAGTACACAACATGGCGTACATGATGGATCCAATTGCCGAGGCATATGGAATCCTACTCATGCGCTCTTGCTCATCCTGTGTCTTTGGACACTGAGTCTTGCTAAGAGCCACGCCATGTCCCATTGGCAAGGCACCCCTCTTGGAGTCTTGCATCTTGAACCGATTCAAGACCTTGTCAATGTATGTACTCTGACTTAGACCAAGAAGCCTTCTCGATCTATCTCTATAGATCTTGATTCCTAGAATATAGGCGGCTTCTCCTAAGTCCATCGAAAAGACTGATCCTAGCCAGGATTTCACTCCTTGCAAAGTAGGAACATCATTTCCGATGAGCAATATATCATCTACATAAAGCACAAGGAAGACCACTGTGCTCCCACTGATCTTCTTGTAAACGCATGGCTCATCTTCGTTTTGCAGGAAGCCAAACGTTTTGACTGCGTCATCAAATCGAAGATTCCAGCTCCTCGAAGCCTGCTTCAGTCCATAAATGGATCTCTGAAGCTTGCATACCTTCATCGGACTCTTAGGATCGACAAAACCCTCGGGTTGTGTCATGTACACATCCTCGAGCAGATTCCCATTAAAGAATACGGTTTTGACATCCATCTGCCATATCTCGTAGTCATAATATGCAGCTATGGCTAGCAAAATCCGTATGGATTTAAGCATCACGACTGGTGAAAAGGTTGTTGATTTAATGCTCTATGATGTACTGTTTATGAGCTTTGTTCAGATACATTCGATGTATTGATACTTTTTATGGTTTATATGAGAGTATTTGATTCATTACATGTTCTTGCATATTAGATCTGTTATGAAATCCGTGTATCATTATGAATGATACTAAACTCCCTAGTCTTGTGTCGTTATGGGAATAACGACATAATAAGACTAGTATGATGTGTGATTGTTGATCATAGGTATTGGATACAATCACAGTCATAGGTATTCGTTGGAGAACGGAATACTGGATTGACCCGTATGAGATTGTCACATGGACTAGCGTCATGACTTGAATCTCATATGGCGGTTCCATGATTGGATCCTAAGACCTGAGATATCTACGGAATCCAACATGAGGAGTTGCGTGCCTTGAATACGTCAAACGTCCTGCGTAACAGGAGGACTATAAAGGCGTGTATCAGGTACGAAACGAATCATGTACTGGATTGTAGATAGTCAAGACGGGATTTGTACCTCTCGTAAAAGAGAGAGATATCGCTGGGCCCCTCGTGTGAGCGAGACTGTAAAAATGTGCGGTCGCACTATAGACGAACGTCGTCTATTCCAGACAGTCAAACTCAGTGAACGAGAAAGCAGTCGAATCAGATAAGGTGGCTTGTCCATGCTTTATGTTCGACATATGATATCGCGATACAAAAGGATCATCAACCGGAATCATCACTGG